AAAAAAAAAAAAAAACAAATCACAGCTCTACTTCTAGCTTTTTGCTGGTAAATAAGAATCTCATGGACTTTCCTGCCCAGGCTGGCTTTGAACTGCGATCCTCAGATCTCAATTCCTTGAGTAGGATTACAGGCATGAGCACCAGTGCCCAACCATAGTGACCAAGTGAGCAAGGCCAAGCACTGGTGACTGTGGGCCGTTCTGCAGGAAGAGGAGGAGGTCGATGGTGCAGGCTCAAGGCAGAGGTCAGAGAAGCAGGCCAAGGCCAGGCTCCACAGCCTTCATAGTACTGTATCTGCCCTGTCACAGCTGAGAACTCAAGTGGTGGTTTTTGTCCAGGTCACTAGGGTGCTGAGAGGCATCCAAGTGAGAAGGTGAGGAAAGGCTTGCCAACAGAGGAAACGGTGGGAGTGAGGGCAGGCAGAGCCTGGAACAGCCCCAGGCTGTGGAGGTCATTGCAAGGGGAAAGACCACGATTACCTTGACATTTCTTCAAGATGCCTGGCTGGGGCTGGGAAGGTGGCTCAGTGGTAGAGTGCTTGCCTTGCATGCCTGAGGCCCTGGGTTCGATTCCTCAGCACCACATAAGCAGAGAAAGCTGGAAGTGGCTCTGTGGCTCAAGTAGTAAAGTACTATCCTTGAGCTGAAGAGTTGAGGGACAGCACCCAGGCCCAGAGTTCAGGCCCCACGAACAACAATCACAACAAAAAAGATGACTGGCTGCTGTGGAAAGTGGGGAGGGAACTGGCAGAGCTGTCTTACCTGTGGAGTCTGCTGGTGTTGCCCGTGGAGGAAAGGGTTAAGAGGGTCCTGGGGAAAGAGGACTTGTTCTGTGTGGCTGCAGCCTGGAGGGCATGCGCACTGCAGAAGCTGTCAGGTGATACTAAGCTGTTTGGATGCTGAGGGGTTGTGAGCTGGTCATAGGAAACCAATGGCCTGAGACATATCTGTATGTCACAGGGCAGCACCAACAGACACCCTTTCTTGCAGGCCTGGTTCCTGTCGATGGTTCTGTAAACACACCTTGCATTCTGGGCCATTCCAGACTCTGATCCAAAGACTGAAAGTTAGAAAAACAGAGCCCCTCCCTCAAAGATCCCCCTAGGAACAAAGAGAGGGACCCACAGGCTCGTGTTTATCTGCCATGACAGCTTTGAGTATCAGAGGAGATGGCTCTTGAGCTGAGACTTAACAAGGGCAGCCAAGATGCTGAAGGCTGGCCAGATGGGAGGTCCTCTTAGGTACTGTCCTTGGTCACACTGGTTTCTATAATGAGGGGCCAGCCTGTATTCTGCAAGAGAAGAAAGCAAGGAGGCCTCAGGCTCTGGCAGGGGGCCAGGATGGTGTGAGAGATTCAGCTCTGTCCTTGGCTTGTCAGGAGGCTGGCAGGCAGTGTCTGCTCACCTTCCTCAGCGTTCCCTTCTTTGACCTCTACATACTGAGCAGCCCTTGAGTATACCACACACCTCCTTGTCCCTGCCGTTCTGCTGCGTGCCCACGCTGGGACTGTGGGCCACCAGTCCTCATCATCCTGAGATACAACTTGCATTCCCTAATGGTGAATGTGGAAGTCCCTTTTAGGAGAGAAAGAAAAGGCACCCCCGCTCCCCGCAAGCTGTTGGATTTAGGGTAGCTAAAGAGACATCAAGCTCTTCTCACCCTCTTCCCTGTAGGTCTGGCTCCCTGCCATGAAGGCCAAAGGGCTGGAGATCTCAGGCACCTTCACCCGCCAGGTAGGCTCCATCTCCATGGACCTGCAGCTGACCAACAAGGCCCTGCAAGTAATGACAGATTTTGCCATCCAGTTCAACCGCAACAGGTGAGCTTGGGGGCCAGCCACTGAGAGTGCACATTGGGCACCTGAGGGCAAGACCGATTCTGCACAGACCGATTCCAGGCAGATTGGGAAGGACATATGCCCTGATTTTTGCCTTCCTGCACTTGCTCCAGGCTGGCAGCCTCCTTTGGAAGCACCCACATTTCAAGATGCGTTCATCCCACCATGACAGGAACTCAGGCCTCCTCTCCCGGGCTGAGTCACTCTACAGAGCTGCCTGCCAGCCTTCCTCTGGTGACAAATGATAGTCAAACAGGGCCTCTGGGGATGAATGCGCACTGCTCCAACTTTCTCATCCCTCATACCCCTACTCTGTGTCCATGGGAAATCGTACCTGCTGGCACCATGCTGTATTAGGCTTCCTAGGCCAGGGCTCTCCAGAAACCAGAGCAGCCCCTCCTGATGATTCCTCTTCCTGAGTGGCTCTAGTGATGAGCAAACTGAGCCTCTAAGAAGTTGACTGAAGGGGCTGCTTCCTCAGAAAGCCTTGGGTAGATCATGGGATCTGGTCAGCTCTGCCACTGCCCCTCCAGAGGACAAAGGCCACAGATGCACTCCAAGCCACCAGGGGTGGTCCTGACGATCACTCTTAACAAACCCACTGTGCACTGAGCACTTCCTAGGCTGCAGACCCTGAGCCAAGGGCTTATTGGAGTGCTGTCCAGCCATCTGACTGCCCTATAAAGTTGGTACCATTTCCCCCTTGTAATAGAGGGCCAGGCCCTTGCCTAAAGTCACCCAGGTGCAGTGATGGAAGCTCCCAGAAAACATTGGAGTGCGGAGTGCCACCATACAGGCCTGAAGTTCCCCCACATCATCTAGTACTGTGTTCCAGGCGGGTCTGACTGGCCTTGTGGGTAAAGCACAGCAGGGTCAGGCTCCTTGAGTTGTTAGTTGTTATCAGAATCTGAACTACAAATCCTGCAGGGTCTAGGCATGAGTCATCCCTCACCAAGGCTTGGCTCCCTCTCCCTATCAGGAAGATGAGATGCTGCATGCCTTTCTTCCCCACACCACCCCCTCCTTTTTGGCAGTAGGGGTTTGAACTCAAAGCCTTTCAGGGCACTCTATTTGACCATGTACCCATGCCATTTTACTTTCACGTTTATGTTGTCTGAACCAGCCTGGACTCATTTATGCTTCCCACATAGCTTGGATGTCAAGCATGTACCATCATTCTGTTTCTTCCATCAACAGAGTCTTGCTGACTTCTGCCTAAGCTGGCCAAGAACTATCTTCCCAATCTCAGCTTCCTACGAAGCTAAGCTGGCAGGCACTCACCACCATACACAGCTGTGACTTTGAAGGGAGTCTTGTAAACTTTTCTTCCTTGGCTGGCTTGAACCACAATCCTATTCTCACCCTCCAGAGTAGCTCAGATGAGCCACTGCTCATCAGACTTGTCTGTTTTCATGTTCTACCACCTCATGCCTAGCTGGCCATGCTAAGCACCCAGTTCAGGTCCCATTCACATGTTGGGACTTACCTCCCATGAGCCTATGATGAGGGGGATTGTCCTAGATTGCCCACATGTTCCTTTACTGAGAAGCTGGCGTTTTCTGAGTTTGTGTGGCCATCAGGTGACCTGGCCACATGGTGAAATATGGCTTTTTCTTAAGGCCATCAAACCTCTTTGGAGGTGGGGTAGGGGGACCTGGGTTTTCAGGTTAGAAGAAAAGTAGTCCAAGCCCTTGGTGTTGCATAGGCCTCCCTGCGAGCAGGCAAGGCTGCCCAGAGAAGAGCAGAGATCAACTTTGGCCTACAGCTAAGTGGAGCGGAGCAGCCATCTCCCCAGGCTTTTGCCTCTTATCTGCACACCATTAAGAGACTGTGTGGTCAGGGGCTTGATGGAGAGGCTCCGTGCTCACACTTGTCCTGCGTCAGCACCTGCTACCCCTGTGGGGGCTTCTCTTTCCCCAGCTTTGGCCTGGCCCCCGCCGCCCCACTCCAGGTGCACGCGCCTCTCAGCCCCAACCAGACTGTGGAGATTTCCCTGCCTCTTAATACAGTGGGCTCAGTCATGAAGATGGAGCCTCTGAACAACCTCCAGGTGTGTCCCCACAGGGCCAGGCACCACCATCCTGTGCCCCCATCTTGTGCCAGCAGGGGGCTCTCCCCTACAGACATGTCAGGAGGCCTGGGTCAGAGGGGATGCAGCAGTGTGGCTGCAGGGGAGGGTCATGTGGGAGATCCTGCTGGTGACTCCCTGGGCCTTCAGAGGTAGTCCCAGCCCAAGGGTTGGTATGGAGCCTCAGAGACTGACTGCCCCCTTCCCTGCCCTCCCCTCCCCTCCCCTCGCCTAGGTGGCTGTGAAGAACAACATCGATGTCTTCTACTTCAGCACCTTGTACCCTCTGCACGTCCTCTTTGTAGAGGACGGGAAAATGGGTGAGTCATCTCACTGATGGGCACGGCCACTTGTCCCACAGGCCGCAAGCAGCCTGGTCATTCCTAGTGCCCATCTCTGTGCCCCAAGAAGACTTCAGAGGGCTTGGCTTACAGCATAGAACAGGCGTCTCCCTACCACAGCCCTGTGAGGCGGGCTGTGACAGACTATTGAGCAGCCTTACGGGGCCAGAGGAGGAAAAGGGAGCAGGGAGGAGAGGAGAGCCAGCTGAGGTTTGCCCAGGAGAAGTAGGAGCGGCCGTGGAGAAGCTAGTGCCCTCTCAGCTTCCAGGTGGCACTGGAGACCAGGCCTCTTTCCTGCCTGGTAAGCTGCTGCTTACCCAACCCCACTCACCCTGCAGACCGGCAGATGTTTCTGGCCACGTGGAAAGACATTCCCAATGAGAATGAAGCCCAGTTCCAGATCAGAGACTGTCCTCTCAACGCGGGTGAGAGCCCCGAGCCCCGAGCCCAGTGGTGTGGTCCACGCTGGCCCTTGCTTGGCACCCTACTGACCTCAGGCCATCTGACCTCACAGAGACTGCAAGTAGCAAGCTGCAGAGCAGCAACATCTTCACCATTGCTAAGAGGAATGTAGAAGGCCAGGACATGCTCTACCAGTCCCTGAAGCTCACAAATGGCATCTGGGTGCTGGCGGAGCTGCGGATCCAGCCCGGCAACCCAAGCTTTACGGTGAGTGCCCCTGCACCCACCCCTAGTTCTGGAACCTTCATTGCCCAGTCCTGGCAGCCCCCAGGCCAGCAAGTAGCTCAGTTGCACCAAAGGACCCTTCAAGCCTGGGGTGAATGGGAATCAGTCTGTCCCTGATTTGAAGCTTTCTAGAAAGCTTCAACTCAGCAAGTTCCCATGACAGGATGGCAGGGTCCCTCCAACTTGGAAGTGGCATTGCTGGGCACAGGCCCTCCTGTACCCAGCCAGGGGAAACTGATTCCTACAACCCACGCTTTCTGGTCTTGGGACAGCTTCTGGGGATGCTTGGTCATCCAGGAGGCCACACTGCCGTTCCTGGAACCAAGGAGCCCTCTGGCTTTGCCTCTCCCCTGAACCCCTGAATCTGGCAGACGTGGCGCTTGGACACCACCTGAGTTCTGCTGGTGGCTGTGACCGGTGGGTGGGGCTGTAGCCATGGCTTCGTTGGTAGTAATTTCCGTCTCCCTGTTTGGTTGCTGCATGTCCGCCTTCCCCACTGGCGTCCGTGGTGCAGGACTTGGAGGTTAGCAGACTGCCTTTTTCTTCCTCCTCCCCACCGTCCTCCGCAGCCTTATTGCACATGTGCTGTGCATCCTCTGGCCTGGCCCTGTGCACCTGGAATTCCCTGCCTATGCCCTTTGTCTTGGCCTCGCTTCATCCTGCTGCTCCCAAAGCTGGGCAGATATGCATGCAGGCTACCGACACCCTGCTGCTTTCTATCCACCCCACACGGCGCACACTCCACCTGCCCTGCTTCCTGACGGCATGCTTCCAGCCAGTATTTCCAGTGGAAGGGGACACTGGCCTCCCTGCCCTCTGCCTAGACCTCAAGGCTCAGACCTAGGGCTGATGCTCACTCTTACAGACCTGCTTCCCATGCAGGAAACCAGGAACAAAGGCAGAGCACCAGCACCCTGCCATTCCCCCGCCAGGAATGCCCCCTCCTGGATCACTGCCCCATCAGGATGACCCGTTAGGCTTGGGCCCTCAGACCTCTGGGGGGCAGGGCTGCAACCAACAGGGTGGGGGCTGGGCACGCCTGGCAGCCTCAGGCCTGTGAGTCACAGCCTGCCAGTGGGGCTTTGGTGGTTAGGATGACAGCAGGTATGTGGGCTGCAAGTATATTTGGTTCCCACCTGGCTGGTTGCAATGGCCACCCCCTCTGCTTTCCCTCACATCTGCCCGAGCCGCAGCCGCCACCCTGCCACGTGTGCACGCACACGCTTCCATCCCGTGCCCGCACTTCCCCCTCCTCCCTGCACTCTTTCTTGAGGAGGAGCCCCAGGGATGAGCTCCTCTACCTTCTCCCCTGCAGCTGTCGCTGAAGTGCCGAGCGCCAGAGGTGTCCCAGCACGTGTACCAGGCCTACGAGACCATCCTCAAGAACTGAGGCCCTCCAGTGCCCGCCCCAGCCTCCGCCGGCCCTGTGCAGTCCCTGGGGGGTTGGTGGCACTGCCTTCATGTGGGAAGGGACCGGGTAAGGGCTCCTTGGAGGCTCCCTGGTCCTGACAGCAGGCACACCAGACCTCCTCTGCAGGTGCCCCCCCCCTTCTGGGGTGAAATCTCAGTGCACCCTGTTTCCAGTGGCCCCTATTCCATTGCTATGACATGAGTCAGGTGAAGAGAGGACCAAAGGAAACAGCCAAAGCAGAAGCTGAACGGCGGGTTTCAGGACCCTCCCCAAGATGGGTGGGCACAGGACCCTCAGGTTCCCAGCCCACCCTGTCCTGGGGGTGGGGAGAGCCCTGGGCAGTAGAGCTGCTCCCCAGGGTCTAGGTCCAGGTGTCAAAGGTGTTCACAGGAGCAGAGCTGAGCAGAGAGGACCCTGGGCCTGCGCCTGCCAGCTGGTGTCCTGTGGCCGCCTGCAGGGTCACAACCACACAGAAGCTGAGCCCTGCCTCACGCGGCCAGCCCTGCCCCGAGGAAGGCCACTACCTCCCGAACATTCCTTGGTGTGCCCTCTGTGAGGCCAGGGTTCTTGGAGCAGAGCTGGGCCAGGATGGGGCAGCAGCCTGTGAGGGGTCCCCCCAGCCCATCTGCCTGACAGTGCTTTAGGGTCTACTGACACTGCTGTTTAATAATAAAGATTCTGCTTTTGGCAGTCATAGATGCCTCTTTCCCTCCACAGCTGTCAAGGGGGAGACGGCCCCGAGGGGCCAGGCCTGGAGACTGGCCCCTGCGGTTCCATCGCTAACATAGATAAATATTGTATGCTTACTCTTTATTCTCCAAAAGAGTGAATAAAAATAGTGACGTCAAGTGTGTCCCTGGCCAGTGTGTCAGGTCCTGACTGGCCGGGTGCAGGTCCTGGGCAGGAGCTGTGCGCCAGCTGTGTCCCCCCCTCGCCCCCTCCCGCCACTGCCCCGGCTCAGCTTCCTGCTGCCCCAGGGGCTCCAGGAGCAGTGTCTGCCTCTGGTGAGGGGCAGGGCAGCCACCCCAAAGGACACCCACATCCCTTGCTCTGGCCTGGCTCCCCAGGGCATCTGTCTGCATTGTGGCCTCCTGGTTTGGGGAATGGGGAGGAACTTGAGCCTTTTTCTAAGGATGGAGCGTTAGGGCCCCACCCCTTAGGCTCAGAGACTTTGCCTGCTCCGCTTGTGCCCAGCCCTGCACCCTGCCCTCTGACATGCTGCTGTCAGCTGGGTTTCTGGAAGGTGGCCGGTGCCCGGTGCTGGGGACTTCCTCTGGCCACACAGCCCAGGGGGCACAATGCTGCTCTAGGGAGCACATCCAGGAGCAGGCCGGGGCCCTTGCTTACACAACCCTGGTTCTTGCCTCACCTGGCAATCTGCCACCAGAAAGGCCCCAGGCAGGAGCGGCTGTAAGAACCAGAATGAGGTGCCGCCTTGCAAGTGTCCCCCTCCCCCCAGCCTACCACACACCTTCCCTCACCCAGACGCCACAGGTGTTCCCCGGAGCGGCTGCATGGTCACCTCCCCCAGCCCACCACGGCTAGAGAAGGAAAAATGAAGGAGGTAGGACAGTGGGCTGCCAGAGCCCAAAACTGCACTGAGCTAGGCAAGGCTGGCTTGTCACTGAGTACCTGGGCCCTCCTGATAGTCTGCCTGTACCTCAGATGCTGGGGCATAACCCTCACAGTGCCCGCAAGTATGGCAAGGCTTAAATGCACGGGAGGCAGGGGCTGGTGGTTCATGCCTGTAGTCCTCAGGAGGCTGAGATCACAGATTACAGTTCCAAGCCAGTCTGGGCAGGAAAGTCCAGGAGCCTCTTTCCTCCAATTAACCATCAAAAAAATGGAAGTGGAGCTGTGGCTCAAGTGGTAGAGTGCTGACCTTGAGCAGAAAAGCTCAGAGACAGTGCCCAGGCCCTAAGTTCAAGCCCCAGGACCAGCAAAAGGCAATGTTACTATGTAGTGGGAAACATGGGAGACAGTGAGGCATTTCACATAGCTTTACCACCTCACTGTAGCAGAAAACAAGTAACCAGACCTTTGGAAGTGCTGTGAGGGCCACCAGTCCATGCCCTTTGCTTCCCTCCCCAGCCCTTCACATCCCTCAGGGGAACTGCCCTGACTCACAAATCTCTAGTCTGGTGCTGGTGTCTCACACCTGTAATCCTGACTATTCAGGAGGCTGAGATCTGAGGTTCACGGTTCAAAGCCAGCCCAGGCAGGAAAGACCAAGAGACTCTTGGTCTCCAGCTAGCTACAGAAAAAGCCAGAAATGGAGCTGTGGCTCCAGTGGTAAAGTGACAGCGTTGAGCACAAAAGTTCAGGGACAGGTGCTCAGGCCTTGAGTGCACACTCCAGGACATGTATGCGTGTGTGCGTGCGTGCGTGTGCACACACAGTGTTCTCCAGCACCTTGGGCCTTCCCAGCTCTTGGGAAATTCAGCAGCAGCACACACCTTTCTGAAGAGTCCCAGGACACCTGAGGGTGGGCGGCTCTCCTGTGCCTGTACCATGCCTCATCTCTCATTCAGCTAGTGGTTTATGTTCGTTTTTAGGGAGAAAGTGATTCAGGACAGTTAAGAAGATCATCTGTGTATACTTTTTCTCTCCCACCCTTCCTCAGTCTTTAGTTTTCCTCCCAGTAGACAAAGATTATTGATAGATTGGGGATTTCTGACAGGGATAATCTATGAACATGTCCAAACCAAGGCCTGGAAGTATTTACTAAACAAATGGTAGCCCACCTAGGTATGGCCAACATGTTCCTGTTTATTGTTGTCTGTCTGTCTGTATGTATATATGATTGAACTACTGGGCCTGAAGCCTGCGGCTGCACGTAGGCTGTACCCCTGAGCTATATCCTCAGCACACACTTCCTGTGTTTACAGGAGTGGAAATTCTGGAGCTGTTTTCATATCAGCACACCTCGGTGCTTCCCGGAGGCTGGCCTCAGGGCCAGTCCCTGCAGATTGGATGGATGGTTCCGCCTGTTCTGTGTCCTGGGTCATTCCCTACTCCGGCAGGCACAAGTGCAGCCGTGGGATGACCCCTCCAGAACGACAGCACCAGGCAGTGCACACAGTTCCCATTTCCGGTTGCAGTTAAGCCAGGTGTGGTGTCACACATCTGGTGCTGGGGCCTGAACTTGGGGGCCTCAGGCTCTCTGCGTGTGGTGCATCTGGGGCTCTGCCTACCCTAGCCACACTTCACTTCCAATACTCCACTAATTTTTTTCCTCTGGTTAATTGGAGATGGGAGTTCTACAGACTTAGACTTTTGAGTAGCTAGGATTACAGGCTTGAGCCCCTGGTACCCAGTTTATTTTACTTCTTTTGATGATACTGTGGTTTGCTACACAGGTTTGCTCCTGATCCTAGCCTCCTGATGAGCCATACCCATCTTTGATTTTTTTTTTTCTCCAATGAATTTTTTGGGTTTTTGTTTTGTTTTTTATTGGGTCCAGTCGTGGGGCCTGAACTCTGGGCCTGGGCGCTGTCCCTCAGCTCTGCAGCTCAAGGCTAGCACTCTACCACTTGAGCCACAGCGCCACTTCCGGCTTTTTTCTTTTTGCTTATGTGGTGCTGAGGAATGGAACCCAGGGCCTCAGGCATGCAAGGCAAGCGTTCTACCACTGAGCCACCTTCCCAGCCCCTCAAATGAATTTTTTGTTGGATGGTTTTTGACCTGGGCTGGCTTGGACCATGATCCTCATTTTCTCTTTTTTTTTTTTTTTTTGCCGGTCATGGGGCTTGAACTGAGCTGTCCCTCAGCTCTTCAGCTCAAGGCTAGCACTTTATCACTTGAGCCACAGAGCCACTTCTTGGTTTTTGGTGGCTTATTAGAGATGAATCTCATAGCCTTTCCTGCCTGGGCTTGCTTTGAACTTTTTTGTGAGCCTATATAATATCTGCCTCTTTTTCTCTGGTTATTGGTTCTTATCAACTTGATGAATTACTGTTTGTGAGGCTTTGTTGTTGTTGTTTGTGGTGTTTTTTTTTTAGCTCTCCTGTTTTGCTACTGCTTTTTACTTTGCCATGCTGACACTGGGTTTTATATAATTTTCTTTTGATCTTTTCTTCCTAGTACTGGTCTGATCTTGGTGTTTGCATTCTCCTCCTGCTCCATCTGGCTGTGTGGAGGAATGAGGTGGGAATCCAACTTCCCCTTTCCCCCAGCTGGCTCCCTCACTGCTTCTACAATGTCTATGAATAATTCATCTTTCCCCACAGACTTCACATGCCATTTTTATCATTTACTGAATTTCCACCTATATTTGAGTGTTGTTCTGTATCAGAGAATTTTACTATTCATTGGCTTCTGCCTTTTCAAAAAGTACCTGCTTTGTCACATTTCAATTTTAGAACCACTTTGTGTCTTTTTTTAAATGATGGTATTTTCATTTGGATCACACCAAATACTTATAGAAAATTGACATCCTATGAAAATGAAAAATAAAGGTTTCCTTGTATTTAAAAAAAAAGAAAATTGACATCCTTGTAATATGCCAATAGGAGTGTTGAGTGGGATTAAGGGTATTGCTCTGTGGTAGACCACTTGCCTAGCATGTCGAGGCCCTAGGTTCCATCCTCAGCTGCAAAAATAATAACAAAAATAATACCATTAGACCTTTCCCAGGCCCAGAGTTTAAACCCCACAACCAAAACAAACAAAAAACAAAAACAAAACCTCCTAGACCTATATATGAAAATGGGATAATAGCCTTTTCATTGAAACTGTAAAGGATTTTCTTTATGGGTTGTTGTTGTTGTTGTTGTTGTTGCCAGTCCTAAGGCTTGAACTCAGGGTCTGGGCACTGTCTCTGAGCCTCTTTGTACTGAAGGCTAGTACTCTACCACTTGATCCTCAGGGCCACTTCTGGCTTTTTCTGAGTAGTTTATTTGAGATAAAGAGTCTCATAGACTTTCCTGCCCAGGCTGGCTTTCAACTCTAATCCTCAGATCTCAGCCTTCCCAGTAGCTAGGACTATAGGCATGAGCCACTAGCGCCCAGCTGCTTTATGGATTTTTGTAGTATTTTTTTCTTTTTCATTTACGTTTTTGCTGGACATAGTGGCTCAATCCTGTAATCCCAGAACTCAGGAAGCTAAGGAAAAAGGATCATAAGTTTGAGACCAGCTGAGGCAATTTAGTGACTCCTGTCTCAAAAAAGAAAGAAAAGAAAGTACAAATAGGGCTGGGCACTGGTGACTCACACCTATAAACCTAGCTCCTTAGGAGGATGAGATCTGAGGATTACAGTTCAAAGCTAACCCGAGCAGGAAAGTCCATGAGACTGTACCTCCAGAAGTGGTGCTGTGGCTCAAAGTGGTGGTGCTAGCCTTGAGCAAAAGAGCTCAGCAACAACGTCCAGGCCTTGAGTTCAAGCACAAATATATATTTTTTTTCTTTTTTTTTTGATGCGTTGTTTTTGTTGTTTGATCCTGGGGATCATAAATAGAACCTTGCACAGATAGACAAGTGCTCCACCACTGAGCTGTGTCCCCAATCCTATTTATAATGCATTCATATATTTTCTTTCTTTTTTTTTTTGGTTGGTTGTGGGGCTTGAACTCTAGGCCTGAGCACTAGCACTGTACCACTTGAGCCACAGTGCCACTTCCAGTTTTCTGGTGGTTTATTGGAGATAAGAGTTTTGTGGACTTTTCCTGCCTGGGCTGGCTTTGAATGCCAATCTTCAGATCTCAGCCTCCTGAGTAGCTAGGATTACAGGTGTGAGCCACTGGCACCCGGCTGATATATTTTATATTCTATGGTCCCTTTGGTAAATGGTCCCTCTTCTGTTCTTTTTTTTTTTTTTTTTTGCCGGTCATGGGGCCTGAACTCTGGGCCTGGGCGCTGTCCCTCAGCTCTTCAGCTCAAGGCTAACGCTCTACCACTTGAGCCACAGCACCACTTCCAGCTTTTTTCTTTTTGCTTATGTGGTGCTGAGGAATCGAACCCAGGGCCTCAGGCATACAAGGCAAGTGCTCTACCACTGGAGCCACAGCGCCACTTCCGGCTTTTTCTGTTTATGTAGTGCTGAGGAATCGAACCCAGGGCCTCATGCTTGCACGGCATGCAGTCTACCACTGAGCTGCCTTCCTAGCCTCTCTTCCGTTCTTTTTTGTATGTCTTTTGTTTGTTTTGTCGGTCATGGGTCCTGGGCACTGTCCCTCAGCTTTTTAGCTCAAGCCTAGCATTCTACCACTTGGGCCACAGTACCACCTCTGGCTTTCTGATTTTTTATTGGAGATAAGAGTCTCATGGACTTTCCTGCCTGGACATCCTCAGAGCTCAACCTCTTGAGTAGCTGGGGTTTCAGGTGTAACCACCAGCTCCCGGCCAGCTTTTTCTGTTTTATGTGGTACTGAGAAATCTAACCCAGGGCTTAATGCATGCTAGGCAAGCATTTTACCACTAAACCACATTCCCAGCCCTAAAAACTTTTTATTTATTTTTATTGTTGTTGTTGTTGGTTGTGGGGCTTGAACTCAAGGCCTGAGCACTGTCTCTGAGATTGTTTTGCTCAAAGCTAGTCTCTACCACTTGAACCACAGCACCACTTCCAGCTTTTTCAGTTTATGTGGTACTGAGGAATTGAACCCAGGGCTTCATGCTTGCTAGGCAAGCACTCTACCACTAAGCCACATCCCCAGCCAGGTTATGAGGTTTTAGGAGGGAGCCAAGCCTAAAGCCCTGAGTTCAAACTCCAGTATGGCCGGAACAAAGGAGGAGAGCTCACTCCTCAGGAAACCTGCCAGCAACACGCTTCCTCCATGTCAAGTTAGCCCCAGCCTGCCCACGGGAGCCTTTGCAGGCCATGCTTCTATGAAGCTTCTCCTCTCCTCTCCTCTTCTCCCCTCTTCTATCTTGAGGATTTTGCTCAGGGCCTTGGGCATGCATCTTTTTTTTTTTTTTTTTTTTAGTCATGGGTCTTTAAACTGGGCCTGGGCGCTGCCCCTGTGCTCTTCAGCTCAAATCAAGCTCTACTGCTTGAGCCACAGAACCACTTCTGGTTTCCTAGTGGTTTATTGGAGATAAGAGTCTCACGGACTTTCCTGCCCAGGCTGGCTTTGAACCACAATCCTCAGATCTGAGCCTCCTGAGTAGGATTACAGGCATGAGCCACCGGTGTCTGGCTATGCATGCTCTATTTTAAGTCACATAGAGAGCAGCTTGGAGGGGGCTGGAGGTGTGTCTCTGTGTGGCCCAGGCTGGCTTTGAACTCATGTCACTTTGTTCTGCCTCCAGAGTGCTGGAATTACACACCCCACCTGCATCCTTTTCTTTCTTCCTTTCGTTCCTTTCTTCCTTCTCTTCCTTTCTTCTTCTTCCTTTTTCTCATTATCTCATCGTCTCTCCCTTCCCCTTCCTTCTCCTCCCTTCCTTTCTTCTCCTTCCTTTCTAATTTCTTTTTCCTTTCTCCCTTTTCCTTCCTTGTTTTTTTTTTTTCTTTTTTCCAGTTCTGGGGCTTGAACTCAAGGCCTGCTTTTTTTCAAGGCTAGCACTCTACTACTTGAGCCACAGTACCACTTCTGGTGTTTTCTGTTTATATGTGGTACTGAGGAATCAAACCCAGGACTTCATGCATATTAGGCAAACACTGAGCCACATTCCAAGCCTGCTCTACCATTTTGAGCCACAGCACCACTTCTGGGTTTTTTTTTTTGAGTGGTTAATTAGAGATAAGAGTCTAAAGACTTTTCTGCCCAGGTTGGCTTTGAACCATGACCCTCTGATCTCAGCCTCCTGAACAGGATTATAGGCATGAGCCACCAGTGCCTGGCTTTTTCCTTCCTTTCTATTCTTCTTTCTCTCTTTCCTTTCCTCTTTTCCTTTCCTATTTCTTTTTCTTTCTCTCCTTCCTTCTTTTTTCTTTATTTCCCTCCCTCTTTCTTCTTTTTCACTTTCTTCTGTCAGTCCAAGCTGCTCCTGGCTCACCTCTCATTTGTCCCAGCCACACCAGCGATCATTTCTCCAAGGAGCTGGTGCATGTCCGTTATGTGGTGTTGGACGTGAGCACTCCGGAAGGCTGGAGGGGAGGGAGGCCTAGCTTCCTGGTCATCAGCTGACAGCCAGCAGCGTGTGCACACTTGCGCGTGTATGTGCGTGCATCCTTGGCGTGGAATCATCTCAGATGGACCCATTTTGTCTCACCCAACTAGTGTTCCTGATCTTCCCTTTGTGTCATCTCACTGTGTCCCACAACTCTCGGAAGCCCGGACCTTACCATCCACTTTACAGAGAGAGAAACTGAATCTCAGAAGGTTTTCCTAACTTGCAGAGATGACCCAGCCCTGGGAGGAAGGGATCAAAGCCAAGAGGTCTCACTTCAGAGGCCTGAAGTGCCTGCCTTGTGCCCTGATAGTCTAGAGACTTGGCAGGGCCCTCAGGAGGCTGAGGAGCCACCATGGACTGGTCAGATGAGGACAGCATTAGTCTCAGACATCTGAGCAGACCCCGCCCCCGTTCAGCGTTCAGAGGTGAGTGACATGGACCTGGGATGAATGGCAGGGCAGCATAATTCATGGTCAGTGGTGTGGCTCAGATGGCCGACCACAAGAGCCAGGCTCTCTCCTGGGAGCTGATGCAGTCTGGCATGTTGAAGACGGGGATGGGCCAGAGCCAGGCTAGCTGGGACACACCATGGCTGCAGTGAACTGGGAGAAGGAGAATTCTGCATGGGTCCTGGGCCTGCTCAGCTGCCTGCCAGCCCACTCCATTATCTGGGCCTTGACCCCTCAGAGCTCAGTTAAGTTGTCACCCAAACCTTTCCCTAATGGAGGCTGGTGCCTCCCTTAGGCCCCTGGACCCTCCCCCTCCAGAAAGCTCGGAGTCAGTCCAGGCTGGCGGATCTATGATGGCTGCAAGTCTGTCTCCTTTAAAAGCCACAATGGGCAGGAGCGACCAGCCTGGCTCCCTGCCATAAGGAAGGTGATGTGAATACTTTGTGAGTTATCTCCGAACTCTAGATGGGAATATACGAGGGGTTGGGAGGCCCCTGGGGAGTAGAGAGAGGAGCAATGTAGCAGCCCACAGCCATACTTTGGGGGCAATAAGAATCCTAAAATCCACATCCCAGGGCCATCTACTTCATAGCCCAGCTCACCCCCAAGAGTGACAGGTACCTCCACTAAGTCCCAACTAACCACCTCCTGATGCCCTGTGACTCCTGGCCCAAGAGAAGCTCATTTTTCTCCGAGTGTTAGGCTCAAGGGCACAGGGATCTGTGTTCCAGTCGCCCCTCCCTCTGGACATCTGAGGCCATACCCCTGCATCCCTCTGCGCCTCAGTGGGCAGGGCTTGCCCATTTCCATCCTGCTCGGTGGACGCAGGTTAGCAACACTGGCAACAGTTCCCCCAGGGACTATGTCATCCCTATGGAGTGCACACAACTTTGTGGGAACCTGGAGACATTTCCAGTCCACAGTGTCCTGTATTGTCCCAAATAAACGTGGGCAGACAAGCCACCCTGGGTCCCAGAGGGACCTGGCATTCAGCCCTGCCTGGGAAGAGGCCACTGTCAGCAAAGAAGTCTCTCAGCAGCTGAGAGGGGCGTAAGACCAGCTTGACAGCTGCCCCCCAACCTGCTGTGTCCGCAACAGAAGAAGGGGGCTAACTTTATTTACTCCCTGCCTTGTTCTCCAAGGAAGCAGCTCACAAAATGTCCAAGGCCAAAGATTTAATATGGAAGAGGAGAAATCAAGTGACGGGAAGGCTTATGTCAGGAAAAGCAAGCCTGGCGTTTCCTATCATTAAATGTGAAGACTCACAACATCTCCAGAGGACGCTCTGAGTTCCCTAGTGGCTGAGGAAAGGAATGAAATCAGATCCAGATCCCTGATCTAGCCTCAAAAGATGGAGACACTCCCTACCCGTTACTATGACTTGCGTCTCGATTTGCCTTTCTCCATTGCAGAATTCATCCTTCCTCCATTTTTCCCAGGCTGGGATGAGGCTGTTGCCTGTACTCTTACAATTCCTAGATCTTGATGATTCTAGAACCTTCCTTCCTAAAGGACATTTTTTCTTCGGTTGGTCCTGGGACTGCTTGTACTCAGGGCCCAGGTGCTATCTGAGCTTTTTTCTCAAGGCTAGCTAGCACTCCACCACTTGGGGCCACAGCTCCACTTCTGATGGTTAATTGGAGGTAAGAGTCTCATAGCCTCTCTTGCCCATCTGGCTTTGAACTGCTAGCCTAAGATCAGCCTCCTGAGGTGCTAAGATTATAGGCATGAGCCACCAGCACACAGCTCAGTCTTGCTTTCTTGCTTGCTTTCTTTCTTTGTTCTTTCTTTCTCTTTCTTTCCTTCTTTCCTTTCTTTCTTTCTTTTTTGCCAGTCCTGCGGCTTGAATTCTGGGCCTGGGCGCTGTCCCTCAGCTCTTCAGCTCAAGGCTAGCACTCTACCACTTGAGTCACAGTACCACATCTGGCTTTTTTTTTTTTCTGTTTATGTGGTACTGAGGAATCAAACCCAGGGCGTCATACATGCTAAGCAAGCACTCTACCACTAAGCCACATTCATACTTTTTTTTTTAAGAAAATCCATCCTGCCAGGCACTGATGGCTCACACCTATAATCCTAGCTAGTCAGGAGGCTCAGATCTTAGTATCCCATTTTGAAGCCAGCCAGCTCAAGAAAATCTGTGGGACTTTTTTTTTTTTTTTGGGTTGGTCGTGGGGCCTGAACTCGGACTAGCGCTGTCCCTGAACTCTTCAGTTCAAGGCCAATACTGTACCACTTGACCCACACTGCCACTTCCAGCTTTTTCTGCTTATATGGTGTTTAGGAATTGAACCCAGAGCCTCATGCATGTGAGGCAAGCACTCTACCACTGAGCCACCTTCCCAGCCCCAGTCTGTGAGACTCTTATCTCCAATGAACTACGCAGAAAAAGCCAGATGTGGTGATGGTGCTCAAGTGGTGCAGAGAGTCAGAGAGTCAGAGTTCAAGCCCCAAAATGGCACAAGATGGTAGGCCATGCCTGTAATCCTAGCTACTCAGGAGGCTAGGATCTGAGGATCTGGGTTTGAAGCCAGCCTCGGCAGGAAAGTCTATGAGAAAGTACAGCAAAAAGAAGTGGAGGTGTGGCTCAAGTGTTAGTATACTAGCTTTGAGCAATAAAGCCAAGCAAGAACATGAGGCTGAGGCTTTAGTTCAAGACCAGTACTAGCAAGAAAGAGAGAGGAAGGGAAGGGAAGGGAAGGAGGGAGGGAGGGAGGAACCCATTTCAGCATCTGGCAAGCAATAAGACTTGAAATATTCATTGAAGAAATTAATCAATAAAAGCTTTTTTTTGGGGGGGGGGCCAGTCATGGGGTCTGAACTCTGGGCCTGGGCACTGTCTCTCAGCTCTTCAGCTCAAGGCTAGCACTCTACCATTTGAGCCACAGCGCCACCTCCGGCTTTTTTCTGTTTATGTGGTGCTGAGGAATCGAACCCAGGGCCTCATGCATGCGAGGCAAGCGCTCTACCACTGAGCCACCTTCCCAGCCCCCACGGAGTCTTATAGCAGGGACACCTGACTTTACAGTGGTCTGCAAGGTGGGGCCAGCCAGTCTCTAGGTCTTTCTCTAGCGATTCACCTCTAGCTTGTGTTGGCCGGAAGATCGCAGGCGAGCTTCTGTGCCTCCATGGCCGGCCCAGCCCCTTGGGTCCCCGGCCTGCCTCTACCCAGGATGGCCCTGTGGTCCCCGCCGTGTGAGCCAGGTGGCCGGCGGCTGGGACCTCAGTGTCTGAGGCAGGGCCCCCTGCCTTTGTTGTCTTGGCAATGACCCTCTCCTGCCTCAATTTCCTCCTCTCCAAGCTGTGAATCCGGGGGTCGCTCCGCCGGGGGTCCGGCACTTGGTAGGGGGTCTTTGGGGGAAGGCCTCAGAGGCCTCTGCCTGTGCCGGAGGCCGGGCAGAGCCCCAGGGCGGTGCGATGACTCCGCCAAGGTCACCCAGCCGGTGCTGACCCGGCCCGAGCGGCCTGGCTCCGGGCGCCGGCTGGTGGCGGG